TTATTTCTACTGAGTCAGTCAGTCCGACTTCTATTTCATCGAATTCTGGAATAGTAAGCTTTTGTTGTTGTATTTCAGGAAGTTTAGGTAGATGGTCAATAATATCCTGCATTTCATAAAGATACTGTTCATTTGTTTCATCTTTCGCAGTGCAATCTAAATCTCCTTGGAGAAGTTCTTGCTTTATCTTCTGGATTGTTGTTTCGAAAGTATATGAAGAAGGAATGAAGCTTTTCATCTCTACTAACATTGAAGTTGGGTTCATGACTAAAGAGTTTGGTGCTGTTGTTGCTAACATGTTCTTACAATAAAAATAAAAAAATATTTTTTTAAAAAAACCAACTTTATTTTTTATTTCGGGAAAACTCATGACAAATTCAAGAGGGTAGAAAAGAGGGTAGAAAAGAGGGTATATCTAACCTTCTACCCTAAAATATATTTTTGCTGAAAAAGTGTCATTTTTTCATGTCAGAAGACTCGAAGGTGCAACACTTCCAAAATACCGACGAACTCAGAAGAGCAGCATGGCAGTATGTTCTTGACAACTTCTATGAGTTCTCCAGGTACACCTTGGAAAATGCTGAAGAACTCCGACACAGAGAATTTGGAGAAATTGCACTCCAATACTACCTTGACAAACAAAGGGTAAACAAAGGGTAAAATAAGACTAAAAACTTAACGTTTTAAAAAGTGACATTTTTATGAGCTCCGAGCCACCGAGAAAACTTGGTCAGATGTTAGCAGCTTACTTCCCTGAGGAGGATGGAAGCGTTACATACGTAAGGTTCAAAAACAACGAACCTGGAATTGCGTACCAAATTCGCAATTACATGACCATGGAAGAGTACGAAAGGTTCCTACAAGAGAAACCAGCTCTAAACAACTCAGAAAAGAAAGAGTAAAAAGTTTAACTCGTAATTGTTTATTTTTTTACTTGTATGGGCAAGCTGCAAGAATGAAGTCAACTATCTCAGTCTTTGTCTTGACCAGTTGGACTGCTCTTGCGAGTACGTCTGTTTTGCGGTCTCCAGCTGGTGTCTGACCTTCGTAATTGCGCATGTTCTTGAGAGCTCCAGTTGTAAATGGTTGTAGGATGAAGAGTCTCTCAGACTGCTTGAGGTAGTCTTCACGGTCACGAACCGAATCTGTGGTACGAGTCGAATCGGTCGATTTGAGGGAAGAGACTGAAAGCCTGTCTTCTTCCATAGGGGCTGTGGCATACTCTTTGCGTAAACGGTTCAGACCTTCTTCGAACTCTTGGTCTCTCTTGGACTGAGATTGGAATTTGAATTGGGGTGGAGGGTTTGACATGAACATCCAAGGGTTAGGGAAGTAAGGCATGGGTTGAGGAGGGTAGTTTGGAAAGCCTTGTGGTGGGTAGTTTGGAAAGCCTTGTGGTGGGTAGTAACCTTGAGGTGGAAATTGGTAGTAATTCGGAGGTCCTTGTTGGAACTGAGGTTGCTGTGGGGAGCCTTGTGGAGGTGGAACCTGTTGTGGTGCTGGAGCATGCTGTTCTTCTGGCTGTGGAACGGGTTCAGTAGGTGGGACGTCGGACATTCGTTTGTGTCTTAACCGTCTTTGTTCTGAAACAATATAATATTGTCTTGAAAAAGTACAATATTGTCTTGAAAAAGTACAATATTGTCTTGAAAAAGTACAACATTGTCTTGAAAAAGTACAACATTGTCTTGAAAAAGTACAACATTGTTCTGAAAAAGTACAACATTGTTCTGAAAAAGTTCAAGACTTGTTCTGAAAAAGTACAGCCGTACTCAAATTTGAGAGACATTGTACTGAAAAAGTACAACATTGTACTGAAAAAGTACAACATTGTACTGAAAAAGTACAACATTGTCTTGAAAAAGTACAACATTGTCTTGAAAAAGTACAACATTGTCTTGAAAAAGTACAACATTGTCTTGAAAAAGTACAATATTGTACTGACTCAGTATGGAGCTTGACCCCTTAGACGAAGCAATTTATCTAATTGAGGTAAATGAAACCGTGAAGGAATATCTCAGCAAGTGCAAACCAAGCAAGTCCATTGGCTTCTGGTTGTCCAAGAATAGTGTCTTAAAGTTGGAAATTGAAACAGGTGTTGCAATTCAAGTTCCAGAAGGCACTGCATTCGATGATATTAAGGATGTGAAGAAAGAAGCCCTCTTGAAGTTCTTCATGAAACGTCCTTGGATACTACTTCCATATCGTGAGAGCCCAATTCCACGAATTACACAAATTCTCAGAGCACTACTTCACTACTCTGGACAGCCGTTCTTCATAACCTCAGAAGGCGACATCCAACCAATTCAGTAAACATCTCATTTTAACTTCACTTTTTTTATGTTTTTACTCACACTCGTACTCAACAGGTTTGTGTACAACTATTTCAACTGTGAACCTTGTATTGACCGGTCTTCCTGCAAATGCAAGTTCGGTCAATACACAATTTATGGTGGCAAGAAAGACAGTGGGGAATGTTATTCTGACATCTGTTGTTGCGCTCGAGAGAGAATTGAAATTCCAGACCCAACTCCAACAAGAACTCTCAAGTTGCCGAAGACTCATGTGAAGAAGAAGCCTTCTGGTAAGTTTCTTATAGCCATCTATATGGCACGCTTTGAGTAAAAACATTTTTTTTTCTTTTTTGAATGAAGCAAGTTAAATTCGTCCCACACCAAACTCAATGGACCGATGAAGAGTTTCAAGCTATGGTTGAAGGTGTTGAGAACGACATAGACGGCGAACTTGAAGGAGCTCAAACCACAATTGCAACCAAAATTGCACAAGTCAAGGAACAGATAGCTCCACTTAAAGCTACCAAAGCTACTCTTGACCTCATGGATAGTTACCGTTTAGAAGTAAAGAGTGGAATAAGACAATTAAAATTAAAACTTCTAAACTACGAAGCTATACTCCAAAAGTTAGCAGAAATGAGAAGACTTTACCAGAGCTACTTACATGTAAGGGACTTACCTTCAAGCAGTCCGACCAAAGATGAATTTTCTGACATTGTCCCAATTTTGTCCGAAAGTCAGCTCAGATGTTTCGAACTGCTCCCAACATATCCAGAATATGAACGTTTGCCTGAACTCTTCCGCAATCTCAAAAAACGTTTTTTGGTTCTCATGTTCGAAACTTTTATCGGAAGAGACAACAAACGTTCAGAAGAAGAACAAGATATTATTTTAAACTTGTTGTATGACTTAACCGTCATAACAAGCTTTTTGAAGTAAAACCGTCATTCTCAAACCACTTCATTTTTTCGATGTCCGAACAAGCACCGAAGCCGAACACAATGGCAGATGTCCTTTCAATGTTGCCAGACAAGCGCCCAGTTCAAATTCAAATTTTGAATTTGAAAGCTCATCTGACAAACACCGTTCAGACTCTCCAAAGTAGTCTTATGGAAGAGATGACCAAGCTCAAAGCCGATGTCCTCATGAACCAAGCTTCCAATGAGAAATGCCTGAATGATTTGACGGAAACCTTGCGCATTTACGAGAGAGAGAACCGAGACCTTGCCAGACTCATCTACCGTTTCTTCGAAGAGATAGACGCCATCTGGAAGGTACTCGGAAAGGACAGAACTGCAACACCGTATTCGTGAACACAGAATTGAAGAAGGAATTGTCGAGGAAGAAGAGAAACACGAAGAAGAGAAGAGGAAGAAGAGGAAGAAGAGAAACACGAAGAAGAGGAAGTTTGGGCAACCCTTGTTGCCGATGACACTTACGAAATTTCCCAACCCTACCCATACCAAATCCGCAACAAGGAGACCGGCAAGGTTCTTACCCCAGTTCCTCAACAACTTGGGACACTTGAACCTTACCCTTCGGAATTACGGTTCAATCTCCATGGGCAAGCTTGTCGCAATTCAATGGGTTCCAAATCCAACAAGAGACGAAGGTCAGACACATTGACGGTGACAAGCTCAACAACCGTAAGGAGAACCTCGAGTGGTTCTAAGAGTAAAAAAATTTTATTTTAGGGGGAAACCCCGAGTAAATTTAGGTGTTTAGTTCATTAAGTGGGTTAAATTAAGGGTAATTTGGACAATTAGCTCCCGACCTCTGAATTGGACTCTTTCGTCATCCCAGTTGCGTAGGAGGTCGTCCCAGAGGAGTTGGTAGAATTGCCAATCCAAGGACGATTTGTCCTCCCAGGCATTGAGGATGTACTGCTCGTAGAGTCTCATGACCTCTGCCTTGCACCAGACACCCTCTCCCTTGGAACGTAAGGCTTCTTCGAAGTGCTCGAATGCGATTGGCTGCGGGACCATCTGAAATGACACTTTTTGTCCGTTTGGTCAATGTTCGTGTCTCGTGCCATAGTCGACGAAAATACAAACAAACAGGTTATATATGAGTTTGAGACCAAGAATGGTGTAACTCGACCTGTCCGATTCAAATTCGAATAAAAATTTTTTATTCATGCAATGTTTTATTTCTGTGCCGTCTTCAAGTATGCCCCAGTACTTACGCTTGGAGAGGACATGAACTTCGGTGAAAATTTTGTCCAATTTGAATTGACCCATCTTTTCACCGACCATTCCCATTTCAATGAGTTTGTTATACCTTCTTCGTTCGTCATGAGTGCGTCAATGTTCTCATAGTAAACCTTCACTTTGGATTTGACTTCGGAGAAGAATTTGTTGTAGTTGTCAAGGACTGCCTTTGCGAACTGAGGGTAAGACCAATGTTCGACAATAGGTTTTACTGTGGTTACTAAGCCACTTGACCTTGAGTGAATTCGTACTTCAAAACAAAAGGGAGAACCTTTCAACAAAGTTGTCGACCTTCTCATAGTGTTTACTCTTCATCTTGAGGTTTCTTAATGGAATATCCCCATGTCGAATTCATAAGCAATTTGAGTGTCATTGCAAGTTTGGGGTTTGAAGCTTTCCTAATATCATACAGTTGTTGTATGACTTTTCCAACTGTATAGTTCCTTCCTGGGAACTCACCGTCTTCGTTTGGAATTCCAGTCGGGATATATTGGACGAACCTCATGTACGCAGCGTTAAGGTCGACATAGTATATCTTTTCATCTGAGTCGAACTTGTCGCAACCAATGGGTCCAGTTCGTGGAAATTCAAGTGAGTCTCTTATCTTCTGAGAAACTTCGCCTGCTATCTCATAAACATCGTCGAAGCAACCTGTTTCATATAAAACCTTCTGACCTAACTCAGATGCTCTCCAATACAATTTGACGTCAATTGGATGTCTCAATGGAAGTTTGTTTATAGCATCTTGAAGTTCTTGCAACCTCATTGGAAGTTCTTCTGGTTCAGGTTGGTATCCGAACAATCCAACTCCTTTTGGAACAGTGTACTTCTTTTGTGCTATAACTTTGTCTGGAACAACTTTTGGTCTTGCTAACAATGAAAAGTTTGTTTCGTCTTTTGGTACAAAAGTTTCTGTCAGCTTGTCATCTGGAATTGGTTCCAACAAACCTTTCTCGAAAAGAATGTTTACAGCTCTGACAATGTTGCACTTGCCTTTTCCGAACAATGGGTTTGTAAGACTTTCGTTCAACATGAAGTGGTTGTGGACAATTACAATCTTCAACCATGGTAAGTCTTTGTCAACAACATAGTCGTCATGTGAAGAACCTTTAGCTGTAGGTATGTTGACTCGGATATTGACATTTGCCAACGGTGCAACTTTTGCCAATTGACCTCTGAGAATGTACCTTGTCTTCACACATGACTCAAGATACTTCATCTTCTCATCTGTAACAAGACCAGAGTTCCTGAGACATGTAAGAATACAAGGTTCATTGACAATTGTTTCAATTGAATTGTAAATTCCATACCTTGTCAAGTCAATGTCAGACTTATTTATGAACGGGAAGTATCCAGCATGTTGTCTGACTGCTTGAGGGTTAGGTTGGTACCATTCAAATTTTACACTTGCAATTCCTTCAATTGCATTCAAAATGTCTGAGTCGGAGTCAACCATTTGTTCTCTCTTTGTAGTCTTGAAAGCGTCAAGAAGCATTGCAGCTGTTGTGACATTGCCATGTGCATAGTAAATGTGACCATCCAAATCTGTTACGGTTAGTCTGAGATTGTATCCTTTCTTATTTCCGTCTTGTATGGCAGCAAGTACTCCCATGAAGCCTTCTTTGTTCTTTCCTTCGTCAAAGTTTACTGTAAAGGTTCGACCAGATGTAATTTGACTTCTAACTTCACGATACTTTTCATATGCATATCTTGTTCTTTCCATGGGAGCATGTGCGTCTTCACCTTTTCCTTTTTTCCTTCTCAAAGGATGCAATTGTTCGTCATGTTTCCAGTAGAATCTGGCAAAGCCGTCGTGTCCTTCAACTTGAGGTTCACTAACATCGAAAGGCATGTCCATAAGACGTTCTTCTTCTAACCTCTCTAGTCTGTTTGGATAATTTGCGCGTGCTGTTTCCAAGTCCATTTCATAGCGAAGACCAGACAATTTGTCATAGACTTTTATGGGTCTTCCCTTCCTATATTTAAAATTCTTTGAAACTTTCCAACCATATCTTTCTAACTCTGCTTTTATTCTAGCAGATTTTCTATCCATTCTATATGGGGGCATTTTTATAAAAATAAAAAAATATTTTTTTCTTTACTTTACATAACCGCCTGCTGCCATAAGTCTTTGACGCCAACCCATACCAGCTAATGAAGGTTGACTTGGTTTAGTTTGGAAACTAACCTTTGGTTTTGGTTTATCTTCAGTTTTTGGCTTCCCTTCTTCTATCGGTTTTTCGTCACTTTTCGGTTCCTCTGACTTTACCTCACTTGCAGGTATGGTTGTGTCGTCAACATCTTCATAAATATCATATGCCATTTGTTTTTGTTTTCCTTTCAACTTTTTGTGTTTGTTGTAAAGTTTAGAATATTTCGACTCTAAGTCAATGAGATGTTCTATAATGAACTGTTGGTCAGTGAAGTAAACTTTTCCATCTGTTGTCTCGAAAGCTCCTTCAGACTTCAATATTTTATTTGTGAGAGTCTGTTTCTTTTTTGAGATACTAGCCGTTCCATTTCTATGAAAAGTGACTTTGTAGTTAGGGTTTGTATTTCCAGACCTGGCACTTTCTATTATTGAATTTTTCTCTTCATCTGTAAGTTCTTTGACAGGTTTTGACAATGGTTCTGAACTTTTTGTTTGTGGTGTCAAATCTACCGTTTCAACTTCTTCGGTCATTTCATCTCAGTAAAAAATTTTAGTTTGGTTTGTTTTCAACTGGTTGTTTAGGTTTTTTAAGTCGGTCTAAAACTTCCTGAGGTATAGGAAGAACTTGACAAACACGTGGTTGTGTAACTGCTGGAAGCGACAAATCCATCTTGAACCCATTTGTCTCAATGCTGTATTGTTCATTTCATCTCAGTAAAAAAATTTACATTCCCCACGTTTGAGGCGGTTGCGGTTGGTTGTTGTTTACCCACTGTTGTGCATGGTTATATCCTCTGTTAAAGAATCTTTCACCTTGGTCCATATAGTGCCCTGCTTGGTTATAGTAGTCATTTGCTTTGTTATAGTAGTTTCCTGCTTGTCTTCCTACATTGTCCATCCATCCTTGAACTTTTCCTCTTGTTTCAGGATTTGGAATAAGATTTGCTGCATCTCGTGCTACCTCCCAACCTTTCTGTACAGTTTGTATAATAGGTTGTGCTTTCTCTTTAAGTATACCTAATGTACTCAAAATCTTCCTTCCAATTCCAAATGCACCTCTGGCTATTGTTCCCACTGCGGGCAAAAATCTGGATGCAACTCCTGCTAATGCGCCAAATAAACCCATTTCTTATAGGGTAAAAAATGACGAATCCAAACAAGGACCCCTATGTTTCTAAAGCAACAAAGAAAGCACTCATGATAAAAATCTTTAGTTCAACACCAAATGCTTGGTTTATGGATATCTTGGAAAACATTCCGAGGTATAGAGAAGATGGACCACCATACTGGCTAATATTTGTCGGTCAAAACACAAGATACTGTGAAGCCATACCATTACAGTCCAAAAATATTTTAGATGTGAAAACTGCTTTGACAATATTCGTTGACAAATACCATCCAACAAAACTGACATCTGACTGTGAAAGTTCTTTCAAATCAGACGATATTAAAAACTATCTGCGTTCAAAAAATGTAAACCAATATTTCATTGTCGACCAAAACCATTCTGCTCTTGGTGTCATTGACAGTTGTATAAAAATCTTAAGAGACTTAAACAACCACAAGGTGGTGAGGTAGATGAAATGTCATATGACGACAAATATAGACACTTCTCCATGGCAAAGATGAGACAAGTTTTAAATATTTACAATAGCCGTAAACAAAAAGGTTTGGGAAACCACTCCCCCGAAGAAATGAAAAACAACCCCGACTTAGAGAAAGACTATATATTTAATAGTTTAGTCAAAAGAGACAAACAAGAAAGAATGCCAGGCTTCAAACTTAAGAAAGGTGACAAAGTAAAAATAGAAATACCTAAACGCGACCCATATGAAAATACTATTGACTATGACAACAATGGGAACTCGACAGGTACTCGCATTCGTGTTCGTAAAAATAGAAGAAAGTATACAAGAGAATATTATGAAGTTTTAGGCAAACATGGCAAAATGTACAGACTGCAAGCAGAAGATAAAACTACTATTGTCAGACCTCGTTTCAAACTTGTCAAAGTTCAAGGTGGTATACTTTCAAAGACAGTTCCTAACAAATATAAGACAACTCCTGACGAATATGCTAAAGAAGTTGAAAATGACGACTAAGCATTTCTATACCATGCGTAAACTGTCATGTAAGGTGGCATGTAGTCTTTACTCTGTCCCGTTGTTTGCGTATACCTGAAACGCGATGTGTATGGCTTCCTCCTACCTCAGTGTTACTCCAGTAACAATTTATAGCAAACTTAACGTCCTCTTTAACATCATATCCTTTACCTTTTGTCATTCCTGACCAATCCCAAAATCTATGACTATGCAAACCTGCTTCAGATGTACTTAAATTTATGTAGTGACTGTGCGCAGGTAAATTTGCACCTGAAATCGTTTTACTTCCACCTGTTTCCTTTGAAGAGTTTGCACAATACAAAAACCTGTCGACTATTTGAGTCCAAGTTCCAAAACCAAGTACTACTTCTGGTCTGGTAGAGTTCATTGACGTATAAATAGAACCTATAGGATATGTTTGAAGTATTTCTGTCTTTAACGTTTGAAGCTCTGTTTTGTCAGCTTTTTTATCTAACTCATCGTTAACATATGTTTTGTCAGCTTTTTTATCTAACTCATCGTTAACATATGTTTTGTCAGCTTTTTTATCATATAAATCTTGAGCAGTGAATTTAACTTTGTTTTCATCCTCCATGACATAGACATTTCTACATTTAATGTCTCATCGTTGTTATGTCATCCTCCGATGTTAAACCTTGTGGAAAGTTAGGAGGTTTCCAATTTAATACATCCCCACCAGTTCCATCAGGTTCTTCAACCGTTCCTGCAATATTTTCTATACCAACAGTTGCGAAGAAATCGTGTGTATGTCCAACGTCACTTTTCCTGTTTAAGGTTTCTTGTAAGTTTGTAATATTTGCAATGGTATGTGTATGGTTCTTATCCGCTTTAAGGTCTAAACATCCTGAAACCCACCCTGTATTGGCTTTACCTTCTAAAATCTTCGATGTCCGTTCATTATACCATTCAACCCTTTCTTTAATTTCATTGTCTTTTTCATCCACATATTCCTTATCTGCCTTCTTCACTAACGCACTAGCCATACAACCCCTATCTACCTTCTCCTCTAACTCACTGTTGACATATGTTTTGTCAGCTTTCTTTTCAAGGCTAACGTTTAAGTCTGTTATTTCAGATATAGAATGTGTATGTCCAACGTCACTTTTCCTGTTTAAGGTTTCTTGTAAGTTTGTAATATTTGCAATGGTATGTATATGAGTCTTTTTAGAATATTCGTTTTCAGCTCTTGTCACTTCACTTGACATTTTATTGTCAACATATGTTTTGTCCGCTAGTTCAGGATGAGTATGTTCTTTCGTTGCATATGTTGCATCTGCTCTGTCATGTTCTTCTTGAACTTTTTCAATGACATACTCTTTGTCAGCTTTGTTGTCAACATCTGCTTTCAAAAGAAGTTCATCTATAGGTTTCTCGTTTAAAGTTCCTTTTGTTGGATTTATACAAACAGTATGGTTCTTATTGTCTTGAAATAGAAACTCGTCTGTCATTGGGTTTATCGTCAGTTTTAAGTTTCCTTCTTTCAATGACTCAGATATCTTAGAATAGTTTGAAAAGTTTGTTGTGTTCTTATTTAGAGCTTGCAAAATGAGTTGTCGGTTGTGTTTTATTTCTCTCATAGACGCTGTTTCATTTGACATTTTTATTCTAGATAAAATATGCTTCCAATAGAAAAAGAAAATTCAAGAGTTGCTACAACTAAACCATTAGATGAACTTTTACT